AATGTTCATTGAAAGCCTCCTGTATACCATACGCAGTTATTGTTGCTGGAAATACAAAGGTGAGGACAAACGGCCTCAGGCTGTGTCCCAGGACTAGGCTTCATAGAGTGATTTTGCTTATAACACCATAATTACATCAGATAGTCAGGCTTACATATTAACATAACACATGTTAACCTGTGAGAACACAGAATAGTCATCCATTTATTAAAACTTAAGTGCATACTATGTACTAAAGGAATTTGGCTTGTGAAGGTAAGGGGCAGCTTCTGTGAGCAAGTGACAGTGAAGCTGAGCTCTTAAAGAGGAATCAGCTCGGCTAAGGAGTAGTGGGAGAGCCTTCCAAGTCAAGAGAGCAGCTTGTGCCAGGGGGACCAAAACAAGGCTGGGGCAGTGAGAAGCCAAGACAGGTACACACAAGACTGCAGAGTAAGACAGGGCCAGCACTGCAAGACTGTAGGCTGTGTTGAAGGCTTTGCCCTCTTTCATAAGAGCAGAAGGAAGCCACTGAAATGTGTTTTTAACCAAAGTCACTTTTTACATAGGCTAGGAACTTGATCTTAATTAGAGGCAGATTAGCTCTTGTTCTGATACATTGGTTTCTAGGCAGAAAATGTTAAATTTTAGAAGTTTTGTTTATTTAGAGCAATGCTACTCCAGCTTCAGTGTGCTTAAGAAATTACCAAGAGGACTTGTTAGAACAGATTTTTGGGCCCCACCTCCATAGATTCTGTTAAGTCTGGATGGAGTTCAAGAATTTAAATTTCTACTAAGTTCCCAGAAGATGCTGATGCTGCCAGTTTTGTCTCTGGACCAGATTTTAAGTAGCAGTTATTAATAGAGCCATAAAACTAACTCACTTTTTTTCTTTTTATCATTGTTTTCCTTGTGTGCAAGCAGCAAAGGATCATTTTTAGTTATATAAAAACTAGGAAGAGAGAGAGAGAGAGAGAATGTGTGTGTATGTTTGTGGAGCTATATTTTACAGAAGCCACTTTAAGGCTATAAATTTTACTTATCTATGCATGTTTAAATATATGTATGTATATATAAATACACATATACATATATATGGTATATGACTTCCTGAGGTGATACGGTAGTAAATAGTATTGAGGAGACATTGCTCCAAAAATCAAGAAACTTAATATCAGAAAGAAATTGTGATTAACAAAAACTGGTTAAGTTTTTAGTACCATTTTGACAGTGCCATTAAGATTTTTGAAAATTAGAGCAGTACATACAGTTTGGAATTCTGAGACATTTGGGTTTCAGCAAGAGTAATCTTGTATATTAATGGAATCGGCTTTTTATTTTTGTTTTTCTAGATCTAATTACTTGTTTGGACACTGCATCCAATTTTTTGGAACCTGAGTTCAGGTATGACTATATTTGTGATTTTTTTTTTTTTCTTAAATGTTACTCTTCATTCACTTCTTCATTTTCATTCTGTATACGCTTAGGGTTAATGCATATTGTGTGATACATGTCATTGTTCTGAGACTTCAATAAATTAGAGCTTATTTAAAGCCACTTTGTTGCATGTTTATATTTTGCTTTAATCATAGCGTTTAGATCTATGAAAATGAAAGTATCAGTTTAATAATATGCTTTGAAAGTAGAACTAGGTGCTCTTGAAAATCTGGCAAAACTGCTAATAAAAGTTGAAAAGGTATTTATCTCTCTTCAGAAAATGGCAAGAGCATGGTTTTGACTGTTACAGAATTATCCAGTGTTGTTACTCAAGTACCATTTCTACTAATGTTTCTTTGCTTTATGCCTTTGTCTCTTGCCTAGATAACTTCTTATTGATTTCCTATTTCTGTTTGCTGGCTTTATTCTGCCGTTTGCACTGCTACCAAGTTGTTTTCAAAATACATATCTGATCATTCTTAAAAACCTTGAGAAACTCCTTGTAATTATAAAAAACAGTTGTCTGGTTTCCTTAACCTGGTCTTCTAGGTCCTTCACAAGCAGTCCTCAGGCCATTTTCTCGGTCTCCTTTTATGTTCTCCATATTGAAATGACTCAGTTATTTACACTGCTCTGAGTTCACAGAGCTTTTACCGTGAATCACTTGCCTTCTCTCTGTTTGGCAGATCATTCCTATCTTTGAAAACCCATCTTGTGGCTGGACATGTTGGCTCATGCCTGTAATCTCAGCACTTTGGGAGGCTGGGGCAGGCAGATCATCAGGTCAGGAATTGAGACCAGCTTGGCAAAACCCCATCTTGACAAAAATACAAAAAATAGCCAGACGTGGCAGCACGTGTCTGTAATCCCCGCTACTCAGGAGGCTGAGGCAGGAGAATCGCTTGAACCTGGGAGGTGGAGGTTGCAGTGAGCTGAGATCGCACCACTGCACTCCAGCCTGGATGACAGAGAGAGACTCTGTCTCAGCAAAAACAAAAACAAAAAAAAACCCATCTTGCTAACTTCCTCCAAACATACTACCACTCCCCAAGAACCGTAATTTTGTCTTCAAGAATGATTCTGTGTGGGAAGGGTGCCCTCTTCAGCATTGTAAGGGGACCCTGGTTAGCTGGGATAACCCTGGCATCAGTGTATGGTAGACTGCCCAGCCAAAGTCAACTGTGCTCCCTCCGCTCTCCAGCTCCATGATCTCCCACAAATTCAAGCTCCCATAATTCCTTTCCAGGGATGCTGTACTATCACCTAATGGCGTCCCAGCTTCCGCTCATGATTCCTTGCTATCTTCATCCTGGGAGCTAGAATAATCTTTTTTAAAAATACTAATCAGATTATGTATGTAAGCTGTCAAAATCCTTTACTGGCTTCCTGTTTTTACTTAGAATATATTCCAGACTCCTCACCATAGTCTACAAGCTTCTGCATTACCTGCCCATCTGTACAGTCTGTTTTCTAACTAACCTTAACTTTGCTCTCTGCCACCTACTTTCACTGCCCTCCTCACTTCCAGACACACACCAGGCCATCCTGCCTCATGCCGTGCTCTTCCGTCTGACTGTTGTGCATTTCTGACCACTTGTTCTAGTGACGTCCCTTAGCTCACTGCTGAGGCTTCACTCCCAGGAGCCCCACCCTGCCACCCCCATTCCTTGACTGGGGCCAATACAGAGTCCTGCATAAGAGCACAGATTCCAGAGCCCATTTGCCACCTGCTAGCTGTGTGAATGTGCAGTTTCTTAATTTCCCTATTTCCTAAAATGAGGACAACAATACGTCTCCTCCGTAGAGTTCTTATGTGGATTACCTGAAGCGTGTAGCGTGCTACCTGGCAATTCATTAAGTGTACTGAATTACTGTGTTACTTGTATTAAGTTAGATTTCTTCTGGTTGTTTCAATGTGCCTTTTCTTCATAGCAGAATCAAAATCAATTGTTTGCGTAAGTATTAGTTTAATGTCTTCTACCACTGGAATGTAAACTCAGAACAGGGGCAGTATTTGTCCGACTTTTGTAAATCCAATACCTAGTACCACCCTACACTCAACAGACAGCATAATAGACATTCAAATAAATGTGTTGGGTGGATGGGCAGCTGCATGAATGAATGCATCTCTTTTAATACAGCTTAAATTGGATCAATAGAGGGTTGGTAAAATTTATCCACAGAATAGAATATCATGTAGCTCTTAAATTTGATGAATAGGTCTTACAGTAGAAACATGTCTACCATTCTTATGAAAAAATAAGGCAGTATGTAATAAGGAAATTATAAATGTGTGAGTAAAGACATATTATATACATATGGATGGAAGAAAGTCTGAAGGGGCATTTTAGAACTGGTGGTCCTGGCCAGGTAATGTCAGTTCACACCTGAAATTATAGCACTTTGGGAGGCCAAGGCGGGTGGATCACCTGAGGTCAGGAGTTCGAGACTAACCCAGCCAACATGGTGAAACCCCATCTCAGCTGAAAATACAAAAATAAGCCAGGCGTGGTGGCATGCACCTGCAATCCCAGCAACTCGGGAGGCCAAGGCAGGAAAATCTCTGAAACCCAGGAGGCAGAGGTTGCAGTGAGCCAAGAAGGTGCCATTGCACTCCAGCCTGGGCAACAAGAGTGAAACTCCACGTCATAAAAAAAAAAAAAAATAAAGAACTGGTGATCTTTCAGGTTAGTGAGATCATGGTATTCACCTTGAACTGAAAAATATGTATGTGATATTTGTGGGAGATAGTTCTTCCCTGTAAAATAGAGCATTAGGTAACCTTTTGTTTGTTTTCATTTCTCAGTAAGTACTGCCCAGCTGGTTGTCTGCTTCCTTTTGCTGAGATATCTGGAACAATTCCTCATGGATATAGAGATGTAAGCCAGATATAAGCTTATTCGAAAGTTGCGATATAACTATTTTTTTTTAGAACTTCAGAGTAGAGGTGTGTTAATTTTATATCCTTACCTTTTGCTTTTTTAAGACATTTTTTAGTAATACATGTTTTATTCTTTTTTGTCTGCTAAAACTCTGTTGTGTTAACTATGTTTATGAAGAAACTGCCTAGATTAACTGATTTCTCGAGGAAGTAGAGTGTCTTGTTATGAATTATTAAGATAAAATTAAAAACAAATCTTTTCTTTTTCCCTTCCTTAAGTCCTCGCCCTTGTGCATGGCTGGTGTGCATGCAGGAGTAGTGTCAAACACGTTGGGTGGCCAAATCAGTGTTGTAATTAGTAAAGGTATCCCATATTATGAAAGTTCTTTGGCTAACAACGTCACATCTGTGGTGTAAGTATATATGCAATTTAAAAAAATATACTCTCTATATAGTAAGCATTCTGAGTAGCAGTGGGCTAAGAACTAGCTAGATCTTAGCAGTATCACTGTTAATGGTGTTCCTGAAAGAACATTTAGGCAAAAAGCACTCACATTTGTGTACTCAGTGTCTGCACATTTTGAAGAGTATAGGCAGTGTGGTACTACCTTAGCTTATTGTTCTCCAAAAATGTCATTTGGAAGAGGGATGTGTTTCTTCTGTCTTTTCTAAGTGTTAAAAAAAAGTCTCTGTAATAGTCTAGAAGTTTGTTGCCAAATCCTTATTTATTTTACAGATCAAAAGGCTTAACTACTGTGTTCCTTATAACACATGGAAAATTCAGTTTCAGGATAACTGAAATACTTTAAATATAAATTTAAATTTGACATAAAGTATTACATCATAAGCATTATTGTGAATCTTCCTCTCATTCTAAGAGAATATTTTAAGGATATATTTTCATGGTATCTACAACGTACTACTGTTTTACAAAACATAAAGTAGGCGTCAAAAGCAGGAGAAGTTGAAACATTAAATAGAAATGCAGTGTTAGCAATCTGTTTTTGTAAATCTTGTCTCTTAGATATGCTCAGTCTTTCAGACAACACTAAGCCTAACTGAAGCCCGCTTTTCGTCAGTGGTCCTAGGCCCGTTTTCATTGAGAAGACACGAGCGTGATTCATAACCAGATTGGTATACAGCAGGATTCAGCAAACTTGTTCTGTAAAGATCCAGCTAATAAACATTTTAGGCTTTACAGGCCATATATCTCTGCAGCTTATTTTTGTTTGCTTGTTTGTTTTATTTATAGCTCCTTATTCTTAGCTCGCTGGTCCTACAAAACAGGCCATGCATGGGCAGTCATTTGCCCATTCCTGGTATAGACTCAACTACGTTTTCTTCTTTTGTTTTTTTCCTAGATTATTTTATGCATACCCTTTCATTCCTTTACTATGTTATACCTTTAGAAAGATTTAGTGTGTGTGAATTCTCTTTCATACTTTAATAAAGAAAACAGGGATAAGTTCCATCCTCTTGTAATGGTTTGAATGTTGGACTAAAGGCAGGAGTATACACTGAAACTTGTTCCATGACATGTTAATTTCTTCTAAAAAAAAAAAAAAAGAAAGAAATCCCTGTTAGTACTCAACTTTTCTTCTGTTTACCCCAAAAAACTTGAGCCTCATTCTCTGAGAATTAGACCTTTTAGTGTATTTTCATCAAAAGCATTTGCCACAGAAAAGTGTTAAGAATCCATTTATTTCATGAAATAAAGTAGTGAGAGATTTACAGTAAACAATGAGTAAATATGTTATGAAAAAGAAATGGAAGTAAGTACATGTTAAAGGCTACATAGAGACATTTGTACAATCACATATCTAGGTGCTAGATACTGGTAGAGAAAGTTGTTTATGCTGATTTCAGAAGTTGTCCTGCTTAGAAATGAGACTTTTTTCCCTTAGGAACAATATTAGTTGTCTAATTTTTAGCCATATAGTCTTCTTGATTCTTTTGATGGGTGGGGGGAACCAAATCAAAAGAAAACATTTCACTAAATATGGGCAGTCATGTGTTATGTGAGTATCACCTAAAAAAAAATTCTTTTTTTCAGGGGACACTTATCTGCAAGTCTTTTTACGTTTAAGACAAGTGGTAAGCCTTTATACTTTTTTATTTATATAATTAATATTGTTTGAACGCTGTATGTCAGGCACTGTGTCAAATGCTGATTTATTGTACTTTCTCAGTTGTCATAATAACACTATGAGGTAAGATAGTTACCTGATAATATGATGAATAGAACAAATCAGAAGCTTTATATTTATAGAGAAATGGTCATGTAAGCAAGGCAGGTTCCTTAAGAAAGATTACTTTTGAACTTGTCTGAAGAAGTAATCAATTCATTCAACAGAAAATATTTACTGAGTGCCTTCTTTATGTGCCAGGCATTGCTCTGGTTTGAGTGATAAAGCAGAGTTAAAGTGAACAAAGTCCTGCCTTCCTAGAGCTTACCTTTTAGTAGTGAAAGATTAATGATAAGCAAAGAATAAATCATTTTTATAATGTACTGTTTATAATACGCTAAAAGATGTAGGAACATAAAAAAGGAGGACGGGTTTGAAGTTGGGTCAGGGAAGGCATCAGGGAGAATGTGACATAAGCCAACAACTTGAAGGAGGTAAAGGAGTGAGTTACTCAGTTATTTGGGAAGAGTGTCCCAGGGAGAAGATAATGTATCACCATTAAACTCACAGGCATGCTTGTAACTGTGCATGCTTGTAGGTTTCCTAATGATACACAAAACATATGCCCAAGAAACACTTGCCTAGTTTTGAAGTTTCTCTGTTACAGTGTATTATTGCATAGTATATGTTAATTAAAGTTGGAATAGAAAGTTTGCAGTGAGCAGGTCTAATATGCATTTTGAAATTACACCTGAAAACCACATTTAGTCTTTTGTTTCAGGTTGTTATGGAACCCTGGGGATGGAGTCTGGTGTGATCGCAGATCCTCAAATAACAGCATCATCTGTGCTGGAGTGGACTGACCACACAGGACAAGAGAACAGTTGGAAACCCGAAAAAGCCAGGCTGAAAAAACCTGGACCGCCTTGGGCTGCTTTTGTCACTGATGAATACCAGTGGTTACAAATAGATCTGAATAAGGAAAAGAAAATAACAGGTTAAGAGATACAATTTTCTAGAGTAATTTATAATGCTGAATTTATTTGGAAAACTGTTAAGGCACTAAAATTTTAATTATATGGTTTTATGTTTTCTTCACTGATGTTAATATTATTGGAGACACATTTCATGAAACATGGCAGAGAAAAGTTATTTGTGTTATTTGTGTTGGTCAGGGTTCTCTAAAGGGACAGTGCTAATAGGATAGATGTATATATAAAGGGGAGTTTATCTTAATAAAGATAAGAGTCTTGACTCACAGGATCACAAAGGGAAGCCCACAATAGGCCATCTGCAAGCCGAGGAGCAAGGAAGCCAGTCCGAGTGCCAAAACCTCAAAAGTAGGGGAGCTGACAGTGCAGCCTTCAGTCTACAGTCCAAGGTCCAAGAGTCCCAAAGCTAAGAACTTGGTCTGATGTACCCGGGCAGGAAGCATACAGCATGGGAGAAAGATGCAGGCCGGGAGACTTAAGCCAGTTTAGTCTTTCCACGTTCTTCTGCCTGCTCTTATTCTGGCCGTGTTGGTGGCTGATTAGATGGTGCCCACCCAGATTGAGGGTAGACCTGCCTTTCCCAGGCCACTGACTCTAATGTTAATAATTTCCTTAGCAACACCCTCACAGACATACCCGGCAAGGGTACTTTTCATCCTTCAATCCAATCAAGTTGACACTATGTCTTAACCATCACAGTATTTAACTCATAATAGCTTTTTGTCTCCATTGTAATGAGACTTTTATTTTAAGGAGGTGTTTCAGTAAAGTGGTCCTGAGACATCTAAAATAGCAGTCTCTTATAGTCATTAAGAGAAATTTATGTTAAAGGAGTCCATTTTAAGGGATAAGATAACCAGTTTTCCACATGTGCAGAGTATAAATTTAATTTAGGGCCACCTAACAAATGGTCAGAATAATTGGTTGGGATTGGTTTAGATAATTTTGTTAAAATATTTATTTTGTTTGGGTACTGTAAGTAATACCAATAATTATCTTTTATCTGTTCATTCCCAGGAAGTCATCTTACTCAGTAGTCAGAATCTATTTTATGATTATATAAACACAAGACACCAAAATAGAATAGTTCTTTATGCACACCCATTATTCTTCCTATCCACGGGAATAAAGCCAAGGATTTAGTAGTTGTTATGATGAACATACACTTGGATATGGAAGTGAGCCGTAATCAGAAATGTTTGAGTTGTGCATCTCAAGTGTTTATGCTTTAATGCTGAACAAACTTAAGGAATCAGACCATGTGCATTAATGAAAGCAACTCTTAATTTCCCAGGCATTATAACTACTGGATCCACCATGGTGGAGCACAATTACTATGTGTCTGCCTACAGAGTCCTGTACAGTGATGATGGGCAGAAATGGACTGTGTACAGAGAGCCTGGTGTGGAGCAAGATAAGGTAAAATGATTACCAAGGTATTTTTTAAAAACTTTTTTTTTTTTTTTGAGATGGAGTTTCGCTCTTGTTACCCAGGCTGGAGTGCAATGGCACTATCTCACCTCACCTCGACCTCCACCTCCTGGGTTCAGGCAATTCTCCTGCCTCAGCCTCCTGAGTAGCTGGGATTACAGGCACGCGCCACCATGCCCAGCTAATTTTTTGTATTTTTAGTAGAGACGGGGTTTCACCATGTTGACCAGGATGGTCTCGATCTCTTGACCTCGTGATCCACCCGCCTCGGCCTCCCAAAGTGCTGGGATTACAGGCGTGAGCCACCACGCCCGGCCTAAAAACATTTTTTAAATGGGTGGTTGCCGAAGTTCACACACAGAGCTCTTCTGTATAAAAGAGATGCAGAAGTTAAGAATGTCTTACACTACCCTCTCCTGGTTATTTTAGGTAGTGTTAGTTATTGGCCTTACTCTTCTGACTTTAGAAAATTCTCAGTGGTTCTAGGTTCCTTTTGGTGATTGTAACGGTGAGTAGTACCTTTCTGATTTTTGTCACTACATTTTTAATTGAATTGTTTAGATACTTTATTAAGACAGTATAAAAGGGACCTCATAATTTCTTATCTGTATGAAGCTTTTATTTTCAGTTCACTGGATGCTGGAGACTCTTTGTTCCCAGATTTCTACTCTGTAGGCAACAGATAGAAAAGAGCTGAAAACCAACATGCATTAAATTATAGGATATTGTAGACTCAAAAATTAATCTGAAGATCATCTTACCAACTTTCATCTTGGAAAACTTCTGTTTTTTTTCTCTTATGTGAAGAATTGCTCTAGCATCTAATTATAATTATGGAATCTGTTTTAGTTAGCAACAAATTACGAAGATGCTGAAATGAGCCAAAGGAAATGATAAGGGGTTGGAAGCAGGCAGAGATGGATCTCATTCAGATGTGCATCCCTTTGATCTTTAAATGGAGGAGTCCTTGTCCCTAAGGAAGATAGATGCCTCCCATCAGTATCGAAACTATGGGCCGGGCATGGTGGCTCACTCCTGTAATCCCAGTACTTTGAGATTGCTTGAGCTCAGGAGTTTGAGACCAGCCTGGGCAATATGGCACTGCCCTGTCTCCACTAAAACTACAGAAAATTAGCCAGGCATGGTGGTGCATGCCTGTAGTCCCAGCTTCTTGTGGGGCTGAGGTGGGAGAATCACCTGAACTCAGGAGGTTGAAGCTGTAATAAGCTGTGAGATCATTTGATTGCAGTCCAGCCTGGGCCACAGAGGGAGACTCTCTTTCAAAAAAAAAACTGAAACGATGATGACATTTTTTCAAACTTTCCTGAGTTTGGCTTTGACTATATATTTTTATCATGTATGATTTACTAAAAAGTCTACAATTACTACTTCTCTCATCTGTCTATTCAAAAATCTTCAGGGGCTTATTATCTTTCATATGCATTTTAACTCTGCTTTTATTCAAGACCTCTTTTTTTTCTTCTCCATGGCGTCACATGAACTTCATCTTTGGTGAGCCTTTCCCTGTTAAAGAAATAACAATACCATCTCCACATCTTCCACTTCATGCCCCTAAACCGGACTGCTCTTCATTCCTACTACATTCATTCCTATTTGCATCACATTTGTTACACTTGTGAAATATTGCTAAATTTTTGAATTTTTAAGAATTGTTCATACTTATAAAAGCTTCCAACATCATTAAATGATATTTCTGAAAAAGATTGTTTTTTCATTCATTTTTGAAAGGTAACTTCCCTAAGTGTAGAATTCTCGGTTGACCAGTGGTTTTTTTTTTTTTTTTTTCCTTTCAATAATTTAAATACATTGTCTACTGTTTTCTGACTTGCATTGTTTTTGACAGGAATTTTGCTGTTGTTATCTCTGTTCCTCAAAATGTGATGATAGGTCTTTTTTCTGTGGCTTCTTTTAAGGTTTTCTTTTTATCATTTGTTTTAAGCAGTTGATTGATGTGGCTTTGTATACTTTGTGTGTGTGTGTGTGTGTAGGAATGGTTCTTTGAGTTTTTTGGCTCTGTAGGTCATGATTTGCATCAGATTTAGAAAATTGTAGTTCATTTTTCTTCAAATATTTCCCTTCCCAATTCTAATTTCATGAATATTATGACCTTTGAAGGTATCTCACCATTCACTAATTCTCCATTCTTTTTTTTTTTTTTTTTTTTTTAGTCTTTTTGTATTTTAGTTTGGAAATTTTCTGTTGTTTTGTCTTCAAGTTCATAATCTTTTCTTCTGCAATGTCTAATCTGATAATTCCCATCCAATGTATTTGTATCTCTGATATTGTATTTTTTACCTCTAGATGTTCAGTTTGGGGGTTTTTAAATGTCTCTTATGTGTCTTCTTTACATGCTCATACTTTATTTCTGGAACATGGAACATGTATTATAGCTCTTTTAATACCATTATCTGCTAATGTTATCCTATGTCATATATGGGTCTTTTTATATTGATTGATATTAGAAATCATATTTTACCTGCCTGACTTTTTTTTTTTGGATGCCAGACATTGTGTTACATTGGTGCTGGGGTTTTTTGTTATTGTTATTCCCTTAAATATTTGAGCTTTATTCTGGGATGCAATGAAGCTACTGGAAACTGTGATATTTTCAAGGCTTGCTTTTAAACTTATTAGGCAAGACATGGACAGCCATGAGTTTTTTTCATTTTTCTGCACCAAAGAGACAATACCATTCTAAGTACTCACTGCAGCATCCCATGTATTATGAGGTTTCTCTGTTCTACTTGTTGGTAGTGTAAGGAATTCCCAGACCTATGGAGTTCTGAGACTTGTCTTGCTGACTTCCAGTGTTTCTTTTACTGGCCATAGGTCATTTCTTTACATGCAGCTGAAGAGTTAAGGGAAAACTCCTTATATATCCTAGAAGTGTCTCTGTCTCGCTCTCTATCTTTATAGCTCTTTTCTCCCCTAAACTCTTGCCCTACAAATTCTAGCTACTTTGTTGGCCTTCCACTGTCAGCTCTGTCTCTACAACTCAGTGAGACCAGCAGGCTTTGTTAAGGATCCATCTCCCTGCACTGTGGCCTAGAAACCCTCTACAGACAGTACTGGGACAGTAAGTAACAGGGCTCACCTTATTTGCTTCCCTTCTCTTGGTAATTATTGCCCGAGGCGGCCTGTCGTCCAGAGTCTGAGAACCATTATTTCATATATATTATCCAGTTTCTCATGTATGTATAGGATTGAACAGGATGTCTAGTCCATTACTGTCATGGTCCAAAATGCAAGTCCTCACATTGAGTTGTATGAATTAACAGTCTTTTCCCACTCACATAAGTCCGTGTGCTCCCTTATCACCTCAAACTCAAAGGTAATTGGTGTTCTCATTTTACCCCTTTTCTAAGCCTGCATGTGTGTGCGCACACACAGACTGCATTTGATTTTGTTTTCAAAAAATGAGTTTAATATATATGCAACTTGTTTTTATAATATATCACTTTCTAACATTATATACCATATTTATGTGTGGTAATATCCAATAAAATTTAAGTTTCTTGAGAGTGGAAACTGTAGCATCCATATCCATTTTCTCTTCATAACACCTCACATACTTCTCTGTACATGGAGGATGTCATAGACTGACTATAGCAAGTCTTTTTTACTCAGTTTTTATAAAATCAAGACAACAGTATAGAGGAAGATCTTAAAGATAGTTTTTATGTTTAATGATTTGTTATCATCCCTGTTCCACTAATATAGAAAGAATGAAAATAATTGCCTTTCATTTTATTTCAGAGTAATATCTTAGGAAATCACGGGAGCTCACTAGTATGGAAATTATCATAATTGCAAAACAAACTTTTTAGGAAGTAAAGGATATTAACACATACTTCAAAGTTTATAGTCTAATTAGCCAAGAAGAAATAGAGCCACAATACTCGGAACTAACTTAAGAAGTTAATCGCCTGTAATCCCAGCACTTTGGGAGGCCGAGGCGGGTGGATCACAAGGTTAAGAGATCAAGACCATCCTGGTCAACATGGTGAAACCCCGTCTCTACTAAAAATTACCAAAAAATCAACTGGGCATGGTGGCGCGTGCCTGTAATCCCAGCTACTCAGGAGGCTGAGGCAGGAGAATTGCCTGAACCCAGGAGGCGGAGGTTGCGGTGAGCCGAGATCGCGCCATTGCACTCCAGCCTGGGTAACAAGAGCGAAACTCCATCTCGAAAAAAAAAAAAAAGAAGTTAATCATTTACTTAATCTCACCTCAGCTAATTAAAAAAAAAATCACTTTGATTTTAGGCAATATATGCTTATTAATGGTCTTTAGAAACTACCTAGTTGATCTGACCTAGAGAACAACCAAGGCTTTTTTTAGCTTATTGGAGGCTATACTTAAGTCAGAAGACCCAGAGTCAAGTTGCTGTCCCGTCACTGACTAGCCAGCTGCGCAATCCACTTGCAGATTCCTGTGCCCTGCCTATTTCATAGGGTTGTCTGAGTTAGTTACATTAAAATGTTTTATAAGTAAGTGCTGGTGCAATGTAAAATACTATCAGTATTTGCTTGAAGTAGTTAAGGGAGTGAGACTCACCTAAATGCATAATTTTACCTAAGGATTATTTTTATAATGCAGTTCTTGCTATTTAGTTACAATCACTAAATTAGTATTAGGCCAGGAGTCGTGGCTCACATCTGTAATTCCAGGGGTTTGCGGGAGGTCCAGGCGTGAGGGTTGCTTGAGGAATGGAGTTCAAGACCTGCCTCAGCAACACAGGAAGACCTCTTTCTACAAAAATGAAAAGTCACAGGGTAGGGTGGCTCACTCCTGTAATCCCAGCATTTTGGGAGGCTGAGGCAGGCAGATCCTTTGAGGTCAACATGGTGAAACCCTGTGTCTACTAAATATACAAAAATTAGCTGGGCATGTTGATGCGCACCTGTAGTCCCAGCTACTCAGGAGGCTGAGGTAGGAGAATCACTTGAACCTGGGAGGAGGGGGTTGCAGTGAGCCAAGATCACACAACTGCACTCCAGCCTGGGTGACAAAGTGAGACCCTTTCTCTAAATGAATGCATACATGCATATATACATACATACCATACACATTGGCATGGCGCCTCTATAGTCGTAGCTACTCAGGAGGCTGAGGCGGGAGGATCATTTCAGCCCAGGAGTTTGAGGTTGTGGTGTGCTTTGATCCCACCAATACAATCCCTGGATGACAGTGTCTCTAAAAAAAAATTAATAATTTAAGCATAAAATAGCATTTCAAAGTCACTTCTGGTTTAAATAGCAGCAAGGAACAAAAACTGGGATTATATTATGAGAACTGTCTTTATGCAGTTTATCCAGTAGGTGGAGGTATATATCTGTTAACAGTGTTCGATAGTACATGTTCACCTTCAGTCTCTCGAGAGAAAATTATGCAAAGTACACAAGCAAAATATTTCCTCTAACACCTAGCATGATCAATTTTGTTTTACTTTAAAAACAAAAATTAATGTATTTTAAAAGTTGGTAATTCCACAGGACTAGAGTTACTAATTTATTAATAGGATAAATTGTCTCACTGGATTTGAAACCTTTTACCCAAATGCCAAGTTAATCCTCTTACTAAGTTCTTAAATCATCTTAAAATCATTTCCATATTAAATATTTTTCCTTTATAAACTTTTGATAAAAAGTGCATCTTGATAGTTTTCCATATTATGATTTATTTTCTTAAAAATTAATCCTTAGGCCGGGCGCCGTGGCTCAAGCCTGTAATCCCAGCACTTTGGGAGGCTGAGGCGGGTGGATCACGAGGTCAAGAGATTGAGACCATCCTGGTCAACATGGTGAAACCCCGTCTCTACTAAAAATACAAAAAATTAGCTGGACATGGTGGCGTGTGCCTGTAATCCCAGCTACTCAGGAGGCTGAGGCAGGAGAATTGCTTGAACCCAGGAGGCGGAGGTTGCGGTGAGCCGAGATTGCACCATTGCACTCCAGCCCAGGTGACAAGAGCGAAACTCCGTCTCAAAAAAAAAAAAAAAAAAAAAATTAATCCTTATTGTCATGCTTTATAGTGGTCATTTAATGCATAGAGCAAAGCGCAAAAACATTTAAGGGGAGAAATTTAGCCCTTCCCTCTGTTGATTTAAAGTACCAATTTTTGTTCTTTTAAAGATATTTCAAGGAAACAAAGATTATCACCAGGATGTGCGTAATAACTTTTTGCCACCAATTATTGCACGTTTTATTAGAGTGAATCCTACCCAATGGCAGCAGAAAATTGCCATGAAAATGGAGCTGCTCGGATGCCAGTTTATTCCTAAAGGTAAAGAAATTGTGTTTAAGATATATTCACTTGGCTCCTAATTTACAATGATTTTGCTGTTCGCAGAGAAAGTAATAATGAGGATGTTTTTCTGACTAAATTCTAATTACAATATTTTCTTAAAGGGATTTTAAAAAAATAAATGATTACCATATTAAGTTACTTATCAGAATGGTCTCCAAAATTATAAGTGGAAGAAGAAAGAGCATCATTCATGAGATAATGTAAATGAGATCACTTTCCAAATTCAGTCTCAATTCTAATAATTTTAAATCAGGTCTCATGTACTGTAATGTTTGTTTAACATAAGCATGGAAGAGTGTAACCATACATTTAAACTGAGAATAATTTATCTCAATATTACACATTTTAATATACTATTTATTGTTGTATCCCCAAAGACTACCACGGTGCCTGACACATCACTGGCCCTCCATACATAATTATTAAATGAATTGAATAAGTACTGTACCAAAATGTGATGACTCCTTTACTGCTTTAGCATTCCACATCACTTTCCACCCCATTATTCTCCTTCCTCAGAGTATTTTCAGATGATTTAATTATTTAAAAACTGAGAAATCCTGACATTTGTATATTTATTGCGGAGTATAATATTTATCCTTCCAATATATTTCTCTCTGTGATTTAAAAGTATGCTGGAGAATTAAATATTTTAGGAAATATTGAAGACATTTAACATTGCTATTTTTAACAATGGTTTTTTAAAACAAAATATTTAAACTAAGTTTACTAAACCATTTTTCAAGGTCGTCCTCCAAAACTTACTCAACCTCCACCTCCTTGGAATAACAATGACCTCAAAAACACTACGACCTCTCCAAAAATAGCCAAAGGTATGCCTGCTTTTAATGTGAGAATTTGCTATTCCTTGGATTTATGATGCAGCTTTCCAAAAATATATTTGAAAGCATTATCAAATAAGTTTATGTAAATCAAGTGGTATGGATTAAAAAGTAAAGAGCTTTTAAAACTTTTTTAAAGGTCGTGCCCCAAAATTTACTCAACCGCTACAACCTCGCAGTAGCAATGAATTTCCTGCACAGACAGAACAAACGACTGCCACTCCTGATATCAGAAATACTACGGTAACTCCAAATGTAACCAAAGGTATGCAGACAGGAAAATGAACACCTAGTACATAGTATGGTTTTGTTTTTAAAGTTTTCATGGGCATTTTTAACTTACACCCTCAGTTTCTTCCAACTATAGTTTTTAAGTATAGCAAAAAAAAAATTGATTTTATTTCTTAGGAAAAGACTGCATTGATCTAAGTTCTAGTTTCTGCTGCCATGTAGAATTGCTCTTTAAATATTTAGAGAAGGCCACTGTGTTGCAGGCCTCCTCTTGTGATTTATTTTTCCTTACGGCTGACCATGTTGACTCTCAGGCTTAGAAATACAATATTTTCTAGAAATAACTGAAGTCATAGCAGGAAACAAACTTGTTTCCTCTGGTAATATATTAATTTGATGGGTAGGGAACTTGATGGCAAAAGGGGGAAAACAAAAACAACTTTTAGTGGAAACGAAGACTTTTTTAAAAATACTCTTAACATGTTCATTAAAAAAAAATTTGGTCTCTCTTTTTAAATGTTTGCAGTTATATTTTTAAAGATTATAAATACAAATTTATTAGAATTTACTTTCAACTTTAGTTATCAGTGATAAACAAGGTCTCAAAATATATAAAACATAGTTAAAATACACGAAAGGTAGTTATAAGTTGAAAAACAAATTTTCAGTTGAATTTTAAAAAGTGTCAGTGTCAGAGTAGACTGAGTATCAGGGTTGTTAGATAAAAAGCTTACTTGTTTTCAGGAAAGTGCAGAAAGAGAAAGCAATTCATCCAGAGTAATTTGTGCCACATAGATCATCAGTCATTCTCAGTTTTCAAGGTTTGCCTGAATTCAGATAACTTTCTCTCATCTTCCCCATGTCGGTTTCTCTTCCATCTTCTGAGGCATTTTCAGAAAGACGAATTTCTTTCTCATGCTGCAGATACAGCTAGACAGAATGAAGAGTTCTCAGAGGCAGGAGATCTTAGCATCTTACACAGCTGCTCACGAGTAGTCAGAGGGCATGTACTTAGGCAGAATCCCAGCCCACATGCCTGGTTGGAGATCAGTTACTGAAAAGTGTTGCTCGTCCTAAAATCTGATTACAGAAGCTCAAGACTGAGTCCTTAAATAATTTTCTTCCAGAATTAAGATCCCTGTATGCCCCCCACAAAAAAAAATAAAATAACAAAGAATGAGCTGGTCTTCTCAAAGAACTCCTGTCTCTTTTTCCTTGGGATAGTTGTGTATAAACTTATTTTTTGAACCTAAGATATTTTATAAAGCTTCTGATTAAATCACACAACATCCATCTAAACTTGATTATCCTCTCTAGTCTCACCAATCTTACGGAAAACACACATTTACCATTCCGAATTCTGAGTGTTTTCTAGCCTAAGTCATTATTTCTGTTTACGCATTTCTCCATTTTTACAGCCAGGCTGAGAGTGATTTCATGGAAAAGATTATGTCATGGTCAGATTTGTGCCTCTGTAGTTTCCAGGTCCTCCCTCAGGGGGGCCTGTGGCACCAGCTGGCAGTCCTTGTGAAAGGCCATGGTGAGCTGTTCTGTCTGTTCTCAACTGTAGCTATTTTAAATATTCCCCATATTTTCAAACCCTTCACCTAGATATCTTCACCCACTGTCAGTTACCTCTCAAACTTAACAGAGAAAGTAGAGCCTACAAACCTATCTGTATCCTCTGTTCGCTGCAGTGAAAAGGAGGCTTTTTTATGTTGCCAAAGGCTGATCACATCACCTGTGCCCTCGTTCCCCATCATCCACCTCTCAGGTACCCAATATTACTAATTATCCTCTCCCACTCCTGTATCTTCAGCCTCTTTCTCTCTTTTGGATACAGTTGTTGTAAGGAATAAAAAAGATGCTGCAGGTTAGACTCATCGCAGTATCCAGCTCTCAGCTCCAGTAAATATCAGCAGGTGCTGCTATTGTCATCTTCCTGGCAAGTAGGGGGTTGAGGGATAAAGGAAGGAACTAATATCCCAGATGACCTTAGGCAGATCATTTTCTCTATCTGAGCTCAGAATTCCTTATCTCTGGAGTGAGATTAGGGGATTAAATGATCCCTAAATCTCTCCCAGTTCCAGCATTCTGTTGGCTTCTGACCTGTTCATTCACACATTTCCAACTGACCTTCTTAACACCACGTGGTTACTCTCCCATACATGTAAACGCTTTGCCATTATGATGGAACATCACTTCAAGCGCTGGATTATATTCTCTTGTAAAGAGGATACCATGATTTATTCCCTCTCATTTTGGTGCATTTGGATTATTTCCAATTTTTCACTCTTATAACAGAAAAGGAGAACATCTTTAAGGAGGCCTCTTTAAATGTCTGTTCAGTTTCTGAGAATAAATTCTAGGCATGGAATTACCAATAGATATTTGTACATATTGCCCAAAAATGCTAATCAGTAAGATAGTGTCAGTTTATATTTCCATTAAAGATATATGTTTCCTGGTAGCCTCTTCATCAATTAATTGTTGTTTTAAATATTTGACACTTTGATTAGCAAAAGCAATATGTTGATCTTGTTTTAACGTTTTTTTGTTGGTTGTTTAACTTATATTTCTTTGATTACTAGTGAGGCTAACATGTTTAATGGTTACTTGTATTTGTTAATGTATTGCTAGTTAATCTCTACTGATTTTTCTCTTAAATGTTTGGATTTGACTTGTAATACCCTACAATAAAATAATTATTTACAGTAACTCTTCACATATGCAGAAAATGTATTTTTCCAGTTTTTCATTTGTGTTTCAATTTCATTTTATTTTAGTGATTTAAAAACTTAGGAAAATTTCACATGTATACACAGATGGAATGAATAGTGTAACAAGCTCCTGTGTTAGGAAACCATTGAGGTCAGGCAGGCACATAACACACTATCTGCAGAAGCCTCTGCAGTTAACCACTGCATGCCCAGTCTTGACAAACAATGTTTATGGTATTTTTGTGCGGTAGAAAAATGTAGAAAGATGATGTGGTTCATTTTCCCTAATGATTTCTGCCATTGTTGTTGATACAGTTTTTGTCTTTGTCACTTCAGATGTAGCCCTGGCTGCAGTCCTTGTCCCTGTGCTGGTCATGGTCCTCACGACTCTCATTCTCGTATTAGTGTGTGCTTGGCACTGGAGAAACAGGTGAGTACATCACTAGTTCACCTGAGTCCAAAACTGCCCAATGTGAAGCAGAAGCTAAATACAGAAGATGAACTACACCCAGTGTTTATCTGTTTGAGCGTGAGCATTAAGGTAGTTATTAGAATAAAAATTTCATGCTTCTCCTTTATTCCCATTAAAAATAAGTTCAGTTCCACAATCAGTTACCAAGTACCTTTTCTGTATCAAGTTCTGATTATACGCTGGAATATGTGCATTAATATGAACAATTTCTGATGCAGGATAGTTATATTTACTTAAAAGAATGAGACACAGTTCCTTTCTCCAAAGTGTTTAGCAGGGTTGACTAACAAAATAAGGAACTACATCATGTGGTTTGATGAGTTATTTATGTTATACCGAGGAGAACCATGAGGATTAACTGTACTGTTTCTTGGGGAAATTCCAAGTTGGGCTTGCCTTGTCTTAACAGGATTGTAGTTGGCTAGGTAGAGGAAGGTAGATGTCTTTGTTTGGGCTGCTGTAAGAAAATACCATAACCTGAGTAACTTACAAATAATAGAATTGATTTCTCACAGTTCTGGAGGCTGAGGAGAAGTCCAAGATCAAAACACTGCAGATGCAGTGACTAGTGAGGGCCTGCCTTTGTCTCATTCACCAGCAGTGCCTTCTTGCCCAGTCCTCACATGGTGGAGGGGGTAAACAAGCTCTCTCAGGCCTCTCCTATAAGGGCACTATCCCATTCATGAGGACTCTGCCTTCCGGACCTAATCACTTACCAAAAGCCCCACTTCCTAATACCATCACTTTGGGGATTAGGATTTCAACATACAGATTTTGGAGTGATGCATATATTCAGACCATAGCAGTAGAGAATGGCCCAACCTGAAGGAATTGTTTGAGTGAAGCCACAGTGATAATGGAATGTAGGCAAAATAGTGAGTCATCTCCTGTGGGCCTGGCATGGGAGGGTCCTGAGAAGCAACCCCAGAGATGCAGTGGGGGCCTGGATCAGGAAAGGCTTTTCTGGAAGAAAGAAATTTAGATTTTGTTCTATAGATGGAAACTCATTGAGTGTTAAGCAAAGAAGTGATATTGTCAGATGATTGTACAAGGATGGTGGCAGTTTTGAAGGGTGGACTGAAGAGGAGAGAGGCTGAAAGACTTCGCAAGATGAGTTAGGAAACCGGTGAGGTCAGTTGGGCACATGACACACTGATTTTAGGAATGGGAGGAGAGATGGAGGGAAGATGTTTCCCAGTGGCATTGACAGGATGCACGATTGGTATCTACTAAGGAAGAAGTGACACGAAATTTATATTATTCTGTACTTTGAAATAATGAAATAAGTATAGCCATGCTTTAAAATGAGGATGTATTTAATATCAGAAATATAGTCTTATACTGGAGAATGTTTTCTGTTTAAAAAAAAGCACATGACTTGGGCTTTTTATGAAAAACCACATTTGTGATCTTGAACAGATCACATAGCTGTCTTGTCCTCATCTGTAGACTAGAATAGTATCTGCTTTCCCCTTAGCTTGCAAAGCACTAATTTGAATAGAATTAGATTTATACCCTTGAATCAGAAAATGTGATTACATTTGCTTGGTGTTTCTTTCTAAAAGCCACTTGGTAAATAGTAGTTCTTAATGGAGGGGAGAGAGAGTTTTCCTGGGGAGGACAGGTTACACTTCTGAGAGGTGGACTGTTGAGAATCTTCTTTGTTGCACACGTGGCTCTCGCCTCCCCCAGAGAATTTCAGTGCCTCCCAGACTTGGAAAGTCATGGTCTCGTCCCTTCCACTTATCATGGAATGGTTGGAGGAATCAGATCTATGCAATTAAGGGTATGGGACCCTTTAAACTTCGCTGAGGAAAAAGACTATAGAAGAAAAGCAAAAAGTTGGAGAAAAAAAAGCAGAATAGAAAACCAGAAGAAGATGGGTTTTTTAGATCTGTGAATTTTGTGACTCAGTTGATTTGTGATATCTATATTTGAAACCAAAAGAGACTTAACATAATTTACCTATAATAACCCACATAGCAGAGCAGATTCTTTGATTTGATTCAGTCTTTTCATCTATAGACATGGCATTTTAAAATTTCTTTTATGCCTTTTGAGTGGATAATAGGTAGGTAACAAGGTAGCTATGGCAAAAGATAGGTGTTTACTGAGAGTCCAGGATTGATAAACCTCAGCAGTAGCACCTTTGAAAGTCAAATGAAATAGACTCCCTTAAGTAGATCAGCAAATAGAGGCGTGTACTCTAGACTAATTATTAACGTTGGTGTTTATTCTGCAGTTTGATAAATTTCTTACCAGTGAATTTACTCTATTTCCTACCTTCTTTTCTGTATTTTTCCAGAAAGAAAAAAACCGAAGGCACCTATGACTTACCTTACTGGGAACGGGCAGGTAACTCACGTGGTCTGCGTCTCATTTCCATCGGAGGGAAGTCCCTCCCCTACAGGGGACAGTAGTGAAAAAAGGGAGTCATTCTGAGGCTCACGGGAACTCCCCGACACTGTTAGAACAATGATGGCATTACTCTTCAGTTCTTATCATTTTTACCCTTCTACAAAATCTCTTCTAGTTCATAAGCAGTGAGATGAAAAGTACAAATTTCTCATAACAACCTCTCTTCATTTTCTTCTGGAAAACTTGTGTAGTTTGTCCTATGAATCTGTTTCCCTTGAGGAGACCAGCTTTCTGTGTGGCCATGTGAACACTGAGTCAGAAACAAAGGACTGTGGTCTCAAGGACACAGTGTGTGTTTGTCCTCTGCCCTGGTTATTCACCAAGTGGAGTCCAGCAGTTAGGAATTGGGAGGTCTCCCATGATGAGTTGTCATCTTCTGAATTGCTGCAAGTCATACCAAAGGCCCCTCTACCAGTCTCTCACTTTCCAATCTCACTACTGGATCAGCTCTGAGGAGCCAGGAGAGTTCACTGCTATGGCTAGGGTAGCAAGGGGCTGCTAGTGCCTCGGGGCAGATCTTGGAGAGTGTTTTTTTGGGGGCAAACTTAATTAAAATCACCCCTAAAATAGATACTGTATCTGGCTGCACTGTACTAACAGTGGTTTGCCTGCATGTTTTTGGTAGAGATTTCTACCATGCACTGCTTGGTGCTGGATAGTCTCTCTCAGCAAAAAAGTTTGACTATACAGGCAAGTTTGTAGAGATACTTGTTACAGAAATGGCTTAAATGCAACAGGATTTCTCTCTTGATAGTACCATTTGAGATCCTGGTTTTTATTTAACGGTTTCTTTGGCTTACTGTCACAATGAAGGGTGGTGGAAAGGAATGAAGCAGTTTCTTCCTGCGAAAGCAGTGGACCATGAGGAAACCCCAGTTCGCTATAGCAGTAGTGAAGTGAATCACCTGAGTCCAAGAGAAGTCACCACAGTGCTGCAAGCAGACTCTGCAGGTAACTATGTTGCCGCCTTCTGGTGCCAGGTAGAGGGAGACACGCTTAGGCTTGCTGTAAAGTGCTTTGGGATTTACAGTATCTGACTCCTGTCATGTGTAAGAAATGAATTGTTTCCTAAAGGCAGAACCACTTTTTTTTAAAAGGTGACCTTCAGAGAGTCACTTCTATATCTTGGACGTTCTGTCTGTAAAGTTGGGGCATTCATTTCTAAAGTCTCTGGGCATTACATACGTCAACTGAGGCTCTGCTTGTTTGGTTTGTGGGAAGACCTGAGATGTTAAGAGAATGGCAAAGACAGAGGAAGCTTTGCAGTATTTATCCTGTTAACCTAGTACATATTTATTTTAAATATTTCCTGATATTTGAAAAAAAATCTCTGAAATTATTTTTCAAGATTAATACTTATTCCAGTAATTGTTTCTTTTCCAATACGATATTCTGAAAATCGTTCAGAAAGAAAATATTCAGTAAAGAAATATTCTGTCTGTAAATCTAAACAGCATGTAAAAACTCTTTATGCAACATTACATAAATGAGACTTTCTGGTATATTATTACTGTGAGATACTAGACAGTTTAATTTTGATTTCTGAAGTTCTTGCAGATTGGGTGTTGATGGCAAAAGTACCCTAAAGAATGTTTGCTTTTGATACTGTAACTGCCGCCCTTAATTATGGAGTCCCTTTATTAGTAAAATGACTTTTCTGTCGTTTTGTGATACCCAGAGTATGCTCAGCCACTCGTAGGAGGAATTGTTGGTACACTTCATCAGAGATCTACCTTTAAACCAGAAGAAGGAAAAGAAGCAGGCTATGCAGACCTAGATCCTTACAATTCACCAGTGCAGGAAGTTTATCATGCCTATGCGGAACCACTCCCAGTCACGGGGCCTGAGTATGCAACCCCAATCATCATGGACATGTGCGGGCACCCCACAGCTTCAGCTGGTCTGCCCTCCACATCCACTTTCAAAGCTACGGGGAACCAGCCTCCCCCACTAGTGGGAACTTACAATACGCCTCTCTCCAGGACCGACAGCTGCTCCTCAGCCCAGGCCCAGTATGATACCCCGAAAGGTGGGAAGCCAGGTCCAGCTGCCCCAGATGAATTGGTGTACCAGGTGCCACAGAGCGTACAGGAAGTATCAGGAGCAGGAAGGAATGGAGAATGCAATGTTTCAAAAGAAATCCTTTGAAGGTGATGCTGCTTTTTACAAAGCATCGTTTTAAAGCACATGGCCTTTTTTTTTTTTTAATTATTAGTGGTAGTAATATATAGAATGTATTACATATCTGCCACTGAAGTGGTTGGGGAAAATGTGGTGACTGAGGTACAGGAAACTACTAATCTTGCCATCTTGCTTTAAAGGTGTTATGGTGGCACGGTTACTGCTTGCCTGTTAAATTTCAAACATCCTGTTTGATACTACTGTAGAACACTATTTTTAATACAGAAAAAGCTCCCTATAATGCACTTCAAAGAAATTAAAAATCACTGAGAGTATTTATTACCAATGCTGCAGGTACATTAATGAACTCGAGACGGCTCTCTCAGCCTGACTGGCAATAACGCACGGTACTGTTCTTGAAATATCTAATGGCTTGAAATTCTAGACTGTTTGTGAAAGATGGGTACTACCATGATTTCCTCTTCTAGTCCTATATTCCTTTCTGGGATATGTTTTTTTAAATAGTGATATAAGCATTGTTTTGATTGCAGCCATATCCACTTACTCATCTTAAGATCTGCAGCTGGGACACTCTGACTTGTAAGGAGCCAGAGGCATTGCTTTTTCACTTAGTGACACTCTAGAGCTTTAATGCTTCACGGTATATGACCTGCTGTCATCCTTGGGCATTCCACTTGAGGCCCTTGGTGGCTTGCCCCATTCTTGTGTTTATAAGACGTTTGAGTGTTTCTGTGAGTGATGCTTGCCTTATCAGTCACATGAATTCAGATTCTTTCATGTCTTTAAGTACGCTCCCCATGTGGAATAGGAACAGCTTTACAATTTGAAAGCTTTTAAGGAGGTTGTTCTCCCACCCCCAACTTTATTTGCAATGAGATTTTTCCTAGAAGAGTTACGAAAAATTGAGAGCTTCGAAGGGAGTGCTGTAAACATGACCCATTTATATTTATCACAGTGAAAGGCAAAATTATTCACTCAGAAGTAATATAAATTACCTCTTTAAAAGGTAACTAGAATTTGTCCTTTTTGGCTTTATACGTTCACACACAAACATATATATTTTTCTTGAGTCTCAAGGTATTTTATTATTTTTAGTCGATAAAATTTTTAATTTTCCATGAACTATTACACAAAATGTAAACCCAACTTGTGTTTTTCAGGACTGCATGATCATGCCCTTTGTGTGGTAAGAGGTGAGAGCAATCCTGTGTCACCTAGGGAGCAGACATTATAGCTTCCTAGCAAATGAATATTCATTGCCTTGTGTTTGATACCTCCTGGCAGCTTCCATGTCACCACTTGTTCATACCTGCCCAGAGCTAGTTTTAGACACAGCAAAATAGAAATCATCTATAATTTATTAGCCAGCAATGCAAAACCATCTTTTAGATGGGCAAGATGACATGAGCAGCTTACCACGATAAAAATATTTAAATTTGACATCCCCTCTTACTTAAACCTTCGTTTGTAGATTTAATGTTGAACAGTACTTTTCCATAAAGATCCTGTCACTTCTGTTGGCCTGAGCCACCAGACTATGATGTTGCCAGAATTCTCTCAATTTGAATAAAGATGAACAGTATTAGTTTTCCTGCTTCCATGAATTATATCAGTATTGTAAAACATTGCTTCAGAAAGAGAACTGTTTATTTCTGCAGACTTCCTGCCCTTTTGTGGTATGGTTTTGTTGGCCTTATTTTCATTGGCTATTCCTTCTCCAAACTTTGAGGCACAATTTCATTCATTGAAAAATCAATACATAATTTGTTTCAAAATGTTTGAAACAAAAGACATAGATGTTAGGCTTTTATTAAAACATACATGGGATGGGTAAAGCACATGTATTAATACAGTCATCCCCTTTCAGGTGGGAAGACAGCAGACCAGTTATTTTTTAATTCATGCTTAGTACACAGAGAATATACTTTTCCTCAAGTAATATACCTGTTTGAAGCTTTGAGAGAGATGATGTTTTTGATAACTATTTCCTTTTCCCAAAGAAGTTTGCTATTGTGTAATTCTGTATACCTGATTGTTTTCCTGGAGTTTTGTTGTTGTTCAGTGTGTTTTTATTTTTTATTTTTGAAGAGAAGCAAGTATTTCCTGAAATGATGCATATTTTAAGACTCGATTCATACTGCTTTGGACTACCAATAATTTTTATAAAACATCTAGTTTTTACAACTTTTATATAAACTTTACTTTCCAGATGAAGAGCTGAGCCTGATTCAAATGGTTTTTCTGCTTTGTACTTTATTCATTTGTTTTTATAGTAGAGGTTTTCTAATTGTTTTTGTTTTTTACCACATTTATATGTCTGATATATACAGCTTTGGAGACAATCAAGTAACAACTGAAAATGTGAAAATAACCATATTTGACAAAATTTCCCTTGAATTGTTAACTTTTGCTTCCAACATCTAAGACTCACAGTCACTGGTGTATTGGATTAAATCTGTTCTTGTTAACACAATTATAGAAATACGTCAGACAGAGACACAACCAATGTGGCCATTACAGGTTTCATAAAATTACACTGACTTGGCTGTTACTTGATCTTCAGAAACAGCACAGTTTAAGATATTGTGAATTCTGATTTGTACTTTATTAAATGCTGTAAGTCTAAACGGATCCTGTTGTATGTGCTGGGTCTAGTCCAGTTTATTTAAGTTCATGTTTCACTATTTGCACTTTGCCTTGAACAATGGGTTTATTCGCTGATGTAAATGGTTTGAGTGAAGAATTAATGCAGTAATTATGACAACACATACACACTTGCCTCTCCCCTTCCCGGGAGAGGGGAGCAGAATCTGAGCTCATATTCTAAACATGAATGTGGCCACCAAGCTGTGGAAAGTGACAAAGCTTAAACACCTTTGCCCTGGCTCCGCATTGTCACCTAGAGAGCAAGAAGGCTATAGAAACATCATGGCAGATGAAACGATTCTCTGCTTTTTGGTTCTGAACTTGAAGTTCCTAAACTGCAAAATCTAAGAGTTGGATGGTTATTAAAATGCTTTTGAAGTCACCTGTGGCACCAGTTCTCATGTAATCCAACTTGTGACACTTTTTTTGTGTGTGGCACTGGGAAAAGTGGAAACAAACGTGTTGAAATACATATTAGACATAAAAATGGTTTAAGCGTCAGTGATATTCTCCCAGAATGTAATTTTCTTACCTCGGCATGTACTGTAGTCACTCAGTATTTGTATATGTTGCTAGAATTTAGATTGTAAAATAGTGGAATTTTAATGTGTTCATTTGTTTTTAATAAATTGTATATATATCTTGCTCAGATTATTTGGTTTAAATAAAACAACTTTGAGGTTTGTAGCTCTTCCCTATACTGTAAAAGATGCCAGAGTCCTCAATTTTAACATCTCATTTATAGCAATACTGTGCTTCCAGCAGCATTTGAAAATGCCACTATTGGTTTTTTACTTTGACTTTTTCTATGTCCAGCACTCTTTTTTTTCCCCAGTAATTAATTTCAACTTTTTAAATTTTAGATTCTACAGGCACGTATGCAGGTTTGTTACATGGGTATACTGTGTGATGCTGCGGTTTGGGGTATGAATGATCCCATCATCCAGGTTGTGAGCATAGTACCCAATACATAGCTTTTCAGCCCTTGCCCTCCCCGCTACCTTCCCCCTGCCCCGGTCCTCAGTGTCTTTATTCCCATCTTTATGTCCTTGTGTACCCACAGCACCATCCTTTTTGAAGCCTGATTTTCCTTGTATCAACTGAACTTCAGCAGCCACACTGCAGCCTATGTGTGTGTGGTATAAGGGGAAGTCACACTGATTACATGTGATTCCAGTTCTGGCTTTTGCAAAGTTCTAAGAAGAATCAAAACTCTGGCACTCTGCAAACATATGCTAAACCTATGCTGGTTATTACTCGAACATAGTTCATAATGAATGTCTGATCTGGGTTAAATCAGCGACTCCTCTTCCCTTCATCCTATGTACTGCATTCCTGTTTCTGAGCCCAATCTAATAGATTTCACCCTTTATACACCCTCTGTAGAGAGGTAGATTGGTTGTCAGTAATCAAACCATGGTTTTCCAGTGTTTCCCAGTGATGTTTATTGTTCAAAAGACAGTAATTCATTCTTCAGCTCATAACATCCTCAGACAACTTTTAGTTTCATCCTTACAAGCTCTGTTCTGTTCCTTCACCTCTCATTCCCCCACCTCCAAATGGCCTTTGGTTGTATTTATTAAAATTTAAGGAGATTAGCTTACCACAATTGTAGGATTGACTGGCTTGCGTTGGATCAGATTCTCTGGTGCACCCTAGGTAGCCAGGCATGCTTTCCATCTGAAGATTAGCTTTAATCATGGGAACATGATTTTTTTTTTTTGACGACAACAGTTGCTGTCACACAGGCTGGAGTGCAGTGGCGCAATCTCGGCTCACTGCAACCTCTCTGCCTCTCTGGCTCAAGCGATTGTCATGCCTCAGCCTCCTGAGTAGCTGGGACTACAGCATGCACTACCATGCGCAGCTAATTTTTTGTATTTTAGTAGAGAACAGGTTTCACCACGTTGGGCCAGGCTGGTCTTGATCTCCTGTTCAGTCAATCTGACCATCTTCCTTGGCTCCCCAAAGTGCTAGGATTTCAGGTGGGAGCCACTACGCCCAGCCTCAGCTTGACTTTTCGTAAGTGTTTACTTGTTCTTTTGTCTTCTTTACCTTTCCTAATTTACTTCCAAGTGGAAAACCTTCAAAATTTAATGAATAAACCAGACCAAAAAAAAGTTCAAGATTTTTCTTTCCTTGAGTTTGTCTAGCTTAGCTTCATTGTATAAAGTTAAACTGTATGTCTTTAAAATAATACAAAGCCGTCAGACTGTAATAATTCTATTCTCTAGTTATATACTTAACCAGAACTTATGCTTAGCCTATTTCCTTTAACTTACCACCTTCATTGTACCAAACTACTCATCACAATCACAGCTCATTTAATTCCGGGGGTTGTCGGGGAGAGCTTAATTAAACCAGTATGAACTTATATTTCCATAGCCAAGAGGCTTCAGTTTGCCACATCAAGCCCCAATCGTATGTGATTTCCCACCAGCCATGTTTACAGTAGCCAAATACACTTCTGAGAATGTCTTATTATAGTCAAAACTGCGGTAAACTAAACCCTCAGCAGGAAGTCATGCCCCTTCAGAGTCCAAGGTGAAGTCACTATAAAAAGACGTAAAAACACGTCAGAAAATAGCTTATTTTAAAAACAATGCAATCAAAACATTTTCCTGATACCGTCACTAAACATTTCTTGGTTTCATAAGTTAAATATATGGTATTCACAGAAATTAAGCTGGTGGTTATGAATCACCAGGCAGCAACAGACAATATACATAATTATTTGATGAGTGCATCCAACATATTTTAAACTAAAAATTTCAGTACAAAAATAAAACTAACACTGTTAGCTTCATCTTCTGAGTCTGTAGAGTCAATCTTGAGTCAAGTTGATTACAAGGTTTTTTTCTATAATGTCCTTCAAAAAGAGCTGCTCTGCAGTGACATTGTGATATGCATTCTAAGGAAGAAAAATACAATTACCGTCTTTCCCAATCTCAAAGTATTAGCAGCAGCAACGTTTTATATCTAAAAAGTTCTGAATAAAGAACTGGAATGTTAAGTAACAAGTTGCATGTACTTTTAACCTTTGATTGCCTTTCAAATTTCTTTCCTTGCTGGTTCTTGTGCAAAAGTTTTCTCTGCAGCCCCCCGCCCCCTTTCCACTTAAACTCTCACATATGTAAGGCTCCTTCTTATCAACCCTGGTAGACCGAATCATGGTACAATACAAATCTGGACACTAAAATTGTGAGTTGTTCACTTTAATGAAAGAAGCCCCTAGAACTCAATTAAAAAAAAAAAAAATCAGTCTAAACTAATACAATGCCTGGTTCAGTTTAAGATACGTTAAAAAAAATTACTGTTCTATACATGAATATACAAGTTTTTTTCCTCAGGAAGTTATTTTAATATTTTCTTTAGATGACACTTGAAATACCACAAGTGCTACAGGAAAGTTCAGGGCTGAGGAGAAATGAGCCTCATCTAAAGTCTGTTGAGGCATCTACTTCTTCAAATACTTAAGTGCTTGTCCTACATGGTGGGGACAGAGGGTGGAGGTGAGGGACAAAAGACAATACTAAAATCTAACCAGATTTATATACCACTTCTTCAGCTTATATAGTAGGATGGTTCAAGGGGACTGATTTCATGAAATATATCAGTATACTTTCTATCGAGTAGTGTTTCAATATTGAAAGTATACAGGTAACATTTTAATCCTCTCACTTGTGACGCACTACTTACTCATCTAAGTTCAAATCAGAAAACTAGGAAACTCTTAGTCAAGTGATAGACAAATCCTTAGACCGGTGCGGTGGCTCATGCCTGTAATCGCAGCACTCTGGGAGGCTAAGGCGGGAAGATCACAGGAGGCTAGGACTTCGATACCAGCCTGGCCAACGTGACAAAAACCCATCTCTACAAAAATAAAAGATATTAGCTGGGCGTGGTGACAGGCGCCTGTAATCCCAGCTACTCGGAAGGCTGAGGCAGGAGAATCGCTTGAACCTGGAGGGGCAAAAGGTGCAGTGAGCTGAGATCACACCACTGCACTCCAGCCTGGGCGACAGAGTGAGACTGTCTCAAAAAAAAAAATTTTTTTTAAGTAAAATTCTTTAAAAAGAATGAAAACCCTCACTATTAATCCCTATTCAAGAGAAGAATGATCCAGTATGAAGGTTTTTAACCTTTTGACCATGAAGATTCTCTTGTAGGATTAAAAAACTCTAGTCCATCTTGTCTACTTAAAAACAAATGTATGAGAATAATTAAGCGTAGCAATCCAAGGTGAATCTGTAATCTCTCAAACACAACAGTTGCTGTATTTCAATTGTGCAAATACGATAGACTATCTAAAATAAGATTCTGTACTTACATGGGTTTGATGACACTTGGCAATAACCATGAGGCCCACAAATTGGGATTTGATGCTGTAGTAAAATGAACCTGGACCTGAGCTAGTTGTAACCTGGATCTCAGCAGGTCTGTAAACCCCATCAAGCCCTCAACCCCTCAGAACCTGGTCCCGCCGTAAAATGAGTGTGAGAAGAGGAAAAGAAGGGCTTTCCATTCCCCGAAGATTAGTCCCAAGCATATACATATTACCGTAAGGACAGTACCTTACCTTATTCATCAAAGACATGGTGGCGTTCCCATAGTAGTGCAAGGGACTCTTGAGGTCAGAAAAGTTGTATTTAAAACCAGCTAGGTGAACTTCGTGGCATATGTAGAATGCCAGTGTGATGGCAATAATTCCTGTTGTTGGGTGTTTGGGTTTCTGGGGGAGGGAATGGAAAAAAAATTTTCAGTAAAAGGGGCTACTTGTTTCCACAGCATATTTGGTTGGCCGAATCATACAAAACAGGGATTTCTAAATGTTTAATAATGAGAGAAATAAACTCTCATTATAAGGCTGAAGCCTCCAAAGAGTATACATGGATACCTTAACTCTAAAAATAAATAAATAAATAATAAACTGTGACTGAAATCCTCGTAAGCCTTTAAATTAAAATATAGCTGCAGTATTATCCCAGAGGACAACTGTCAAATGAAAGAATACTGTGAGGCTTAAGAAAATGTTGCTGCACTGTTTTAAAAAATTAAAAGACCAGATGAGCCAGGCTCCTTATGCCAAAAGCAAAGCCTGGGAATTTTGAACACATATGAAACGTGAGAACAGCTTAATTCGTGAACGGATGAAATCATGATAAAAGACTTCATATAAATTCGCCTTAGAATAGCTGTATTTGATACTCTCCATTTAAACTAATTCTGGGAAAGACTAATCAAGCACTTCAATGACAAACTGTAAAGTATCTGACTAGAAAATAAATATTCCAAATACACACATAGCAATAGCACAATCTCAACTGCACCACTATTTTTTTTTAGAAAAACCAAGCAAACTCTTTCCTCATCTGACATATATCTTGAAAACCAGTGTGACGAATATTTGACAAGAGGGTCTTTCAGAAATTTTAATTCTCACTGAAATGGCCTTCCAAGAGAAAAATAAGATATTTATTAAGCTTTTTACATAGCACTTTCAATTAAGTGTTTCTTATAGTTCTCATTGAAATTACATGTGACTTATTAGGATTTTGAGGAAAAGAAAATCATCAAAGAGGCACAATCAAATCAAATCAATTCCAAGACACAAACTTGTCTGAAAGCCTTAACTGCCTTCAGCATAAGCTTTTCTTTATGCTGGGTACCACTGTAACCTAGGAGTCATCCAGCATCATTGATTCCATTACTTCTCCTTTCTCCTGACCCCTTTTCATGTCTTCTAACTTTCTTCACAATTTAGAGTCCCTCAACCGTCTACATAACCATTCCTTTATTTAAGCTCTTCTGTACCCATCACCACAGAACCTATATTATCACCTGACAAACTCTTATAAGAGGGATAAGCACTGCAGTCACCCTGTCCCCACTCCCCAGCGACAGAAGAGGGCAAGAGGGAAACAGGCTTACCTGGGTGAATGCTGAATTTATGACCCAACTCTCAAATAGGCATTAAGTATGCCCAGCAATCCAGTTACATTTGACTAGTAAATTTCCATTCCTACTAATTCCATGAGGAGAATTTATAACTTTGAATAATACTAAATTTGGAATAATAGTAAATTCCAAGATGAGAATTTGTAATTTTGTATCCTCCAACAGCCATAGTCTCTTTCCTAATTTGCCTAATCTTGATTTTTTTTTAAAGAAACAAAAGCAGTCAAAAGAGAGTGACGTCGTCTTCCCACCTCCAAATCTACCGTCTTACCTGTATCTTCATGTTTACAGTGTTTATTCCTCTTATAATGGATGAGATATAACTTCAACAACCCTTCACTAGTGCATATGTTATCCCATATCTCAACGGTTTTTCTTCTGTACTTACTTACCTACTTTCTCCCCTCATCATAAATATTTCTTTCCGCTGAATCATTCCCTTCAACATACAGACCAAACATGAACAAAACACACTTCCCCGATCCTGTATCATCTTCCAACTATTGCTTCATTTCTCTGATCCTCGTTCTAGCAAAAAGTCCACTAAAGATTTGTTGCTGCTTGCTCATACGAGTTCCAGGTTCTCTTCAACCCAATTCAAGCAGGCGTTTTCCTTCTTTCCTGTTGTCAATATATATTACCAGTATGACCTCCACATTTCTAAAACCAGGGTTCACTATGCATGTTCAGCCTCTGGACAGCATTGGACATGGCTGACTTCCCTTGAAATACAGCAATGTTTTCATGTGGTTTCTGGGACACCATATCCTACTGGACTTTAACGTAGCTACGGTTAGTTCTAATGTCATCACTAAGCATGCACAGGGTCTTCCTCTGCTTTTGGAATTAAAGACATTACCTAAAATGAAGAACCAAGATACACCTGATCATACTTCACTTAGGAATATAGGAGCTGAAAAGTCACAAAACACACATTCAGAAGCTGTCCTTTACCCTCAGAATTACTAGGAAGTCAGGTTTAAATTTAAAGCATGGATGCTTTTTGACTTGAGCTTCCATTTTCAGGAGTCTATCCTACAGAAATCCGACACATGAGCAGAAAACTCCTATCAGCACATGTACTGCTACATTATTTAAAAAGAGAAGAAAATACTGGATACAGTTGAGTTTATAAATAGGAGAAGACTTAAATAAAGGGAAAAAAAGAAAAGAGTAGAACAATGTCTGTAGTATAATCATAATTATATTGAACAAACAAAAAGGGTATGTGTATGTGTTTGAAAACATAGCAAACAGTCTGGAAGCACATAAAGGATAGAAAAGCTTGGGAGATGACATGGATTATAGAGGGAAGAGAAAAGAATGGCAACTTTCTAATTTTTTAATATTCCTTTTTAAGTTACTTGATTTTCAGTGTGTAACACTAATTTATTTTTAGAACATAACACTTTTGAATTTCTTATTCAGTTTTTATCATGCTACATATAATCGAGAAAATACATGTAAAATACATGATGTATATTTATTTCTTTGGAATTTTCTCTACGCTAAAAAGGGGGGAAAGCTCATTTCAACTAAGGTATATTATACAGTTACTCAAGCTTCCAGTGGAAAATATCTCTGCCCCTATATGGGTCTAGAATATTCTTTTCTAGGGAAAGTAGGCAAACAGGAGTGAAAGTGAGATTTCATTTTGGAGTTTCAAGAACTCTTTCAATATTGTTGTAACTACCATTTCTTGAGAAATTAGTGCCAACATTTCCTCTGACCACAGAAATGTTTCTGGACTACTTCCCTGACAGTTCTTTTTTCGCCTGGAAAGCGATGCACTCGTTCTGAAGCCAGGCCAGCTACTCTGAGCACAAGCCTGCCCATCAGCCCACCCAGTCAGACTCTCCTCACCGCAGAACACTGAAGACAGTTATGAAAGATGAATTGTTTCGGCATGCACAAAGAGACCCCAGGAAGGCCCTAAAGGGCAGGACCAAAAAACCCAATTTAAAAGTATATTTCCTTGAAATGTAAATGAAAATCATAAAGATGGTATCCACAGATAACTACTTTGACTAACTGAGAGATGGCCCTCAGAAACCATCTCCTGAGCTGTGGTTCTGACACAGTTTTTGAGAGTTCCCAGGACCCTGTATCCTATCTCAGCCAGATCTGTAGTTTGAAACCACGCAGAGATAGATACATACCTGATTTTTGGGAAACACTTTTGGAAAATGAAGCAGTTCATAAGCCGCTGTTCTGATAATGAAAGGATCTAATATTCTGATTTGATAAGGTTTATAGATCAGGTTTAAGGCTGGTTTCTTCCAAAAACCATTAGTGTTCTGAAATAAAGAATATGGAAAGTAGAACAATGTGGCTTTTTTTTAAAGGAAAAAAAAATACTAAAGGTAATCGAAAGGAAAAACAATTTTGCCTACTTACTATTTTGTTACCCATCAACAAGTCCAACAGCCACCTCAAATCATGTGGCTTAAAAGCTGTGAGAATTGCTGTCGTATTAGGGTCGTTGTGAATAGGATCTGAAAAAACAGATTCTGGATAAAAAAGTCGGAAGGTCGTCCTTCTCCCAACTTCTTCTTCATGTCCTAAAACGGGACCATTATTCATTCTGTGGGTAGTAAAACACACAAGGTATGTAGATCAAGTGCAGGATGTGCCACTGCCATCACAGTTCGCAGAAGTTTCAGAGTTGGGTAAACATCAGCCTTTTATCCTGTGCTCTAAAACCACAAAGCCATAGATCAACCTTTTCATGAAATAGTTGCTTCATCAAAGGCAGAAATGTTCATCTGTATTTGAAAAGTAACTGTGGAGCCAATGATAATTCAGTCTTACCTCCAGGGGACCTGAAGACTAAATAAAAGAAATGGGAACACAGAGCCACAGGATACCAGAACTGAAAGAGACCTTGGAGGACAAATGCCTGGAGAGAAAATGACTTGCTCAAGGCCACACAGTCACGTAGCACAGGGACGTGTGTGACTGACAGGCAAGAAGAATCACACATAAGTTGGCTTAAAGGCCCATCAAAATTGTACTCTGAAATAAAGTTAACAATATAAAACTGCTACATTATATTCAAGCACAACCAAATGAATGTCTATTGCTAGAGTGAACTAAAGAACCACAAGGAATCTACGGTTGGGTTTGTGTATGCTGAAAGCCAAGGTTAGACATGCACTATTTATGCACACATTATGAAGGCATGCTAAGAAAAAGAAATGCTTTGTTTGCAAAATAGTGTCCCCTAGGAGGATAAATACTGTTTTACCCTTTGCCACTGACTATGTAATAACACTTGAGATGACTTTCAAAATGTCGTACCAATGGCATTTTCCTGTAAGGGCTTCCTGTGGTTCTAAATTACCAGATTTAGACAATTACGGGTAGAGACACCTGTGATTGCTTCAAAATTGTTTTGTGGGTAAATTATCACAGCTTCCTCAAAATGAATAGCAAACAGAAAATAAAGTGGCCTCCTCATGCAGAAACGCTCAGTGGCTTATAGCCCCATGAAACCTCAACACTGCCAAGCCGTCCTGCCACATTGCCTCAGTATGCTAACCTTGCCAGTCTTTAGACGATTCACAGCCACTCCAAACACGCACACACTTATCCCAGATGAGGACCTTATCTCGACCTTTCTCTAAAAAAAATATAGATAGAAAGATCCTTATTTTCTCATCACTACATCAGAGGGACTCTTGGTGGTTGTGACCACAATCCTGGCTCTCTTTCCAGTACAAAAGATCAACCACACTTGTGTTCTGGACCCCTCCCCTCTCTTCTACCACACCATTCTTTCTCATTTCCACCAGTTTACCAACATGCTGTTGCACCTCCCATCTTTTCAAAAGAAAAGCAAACAAAAACGACTCCCGATTGCATAACCATCTCTAACTGCCGTCTGATTTCTCAACTCCTCCTTGAAGCAAACGTTTTGGACTACACTGGTTTCTCTGCATGCTCCTGAGTACATCCAGGTGTACGCTCTCCGCATTCCCTCTTCAGCCTTCTCCAGCCGGGCTTCTTGCCACATCAGGCCTCTAAGCCTGCTCTTATCAAGAATGTCAACGAGCTTCAGGTCACCAGTCAGTCACCCCTCGGTCCTTATCTTGCATGACCTCTCACCAGCATTGGGACACAGCTGGTTGCTCCTTCTGTCCTGAAACGCTTTGCTCTCTTGGCTGCTGTGATCACTTTCTCCTGATTTTCTTCTTACCTTTTTCGTATGCATCCTCTTTTCTTTGCTCAACCTCTACATGTTGAGTGCTCCAAGGCTCAGTCCTCACCTTCTTCTCCCTCTCAGTCTCTCCTTGGGAAATCTCACCCAGTCCATGATTTAAATACAGCTAATCGGCCACACACCATCAAGATCTTAACCTATTTAGCCAACTGCCTACTGGACATACCTACTGCAAATCTAACAAGCATCTCAAATCTAACATGTTTGTATAGAAATCTCAGTTTTCCTTTAAACTGGCTCCTATTCCAGTCTTTCCCAATGCCATAAATGATACCACTCTCTAGCCAATCTCCTAGGCTGGAAACAGTAGGAGGCATCCTTGATTTCTTTAGTTCCATTACTCTTCACATCTAATATAGCAACAAATCCTGATAACCCTATGTCTAAAACACATCTGCAGTGGTCCACATATCCCTTCCTCTCCCATGACAATCCTGTCCCAAGCCATCATCATGTGATACCTGAATACCGCAACCTAATTGTCTCTTCATTTCCGCCCATCCCTCACATTCCATTGTCCATGCCACAGCCGGCATATTAAAAAGACATAACCAGGCTGCATTGTTCTTAAAACCCTTAAAAAGCTTCCTGCTATACTTAAAGTCCAAGTTTCTAATCCTAGCTTTCAAGTCCCCTGCAGCCTGATCTTTGCTCACCGCTTCGGCTTCCAACTGCACATTCTCCCTCCGCCTGCTACCTCCCAGCCGCACTGGTTTTTTTTTGTTTTGTTTTTTGCTGCCCCTCTCAAATTCAGGCTCACCTCCTCCTGAGACCCCGCAGCAGACATCCTTTCTGCCTAGACTGCTCTGCCATCATCTTCATACGGCTGTCACTGTGTGGTCACCTGGGCCCTACTTAGATGTCTCTTTCTCTAAGTGGTCATTCAAAGGAGCCACTCAAAGATTCTCCATTACATCCTTTCAAATTATGTCTGACATTTATTATTTTTATATATTTAATTACTCGTTTTCTTCCCTCCACAGAGAACACAAACATTGTTCTTATCCACTGCTATCTCCCCTGTGGCTACAAGCGAGCCGGCACACTAAGGAGACTTGACAAATACTTGCTCCGTGAGTAACCTGAAAACGAGGCTAACTCTAGCCAGCAACCGAGAGAGAAGGTTGTGCAATGAAGCACACAAACAAATGAAGACAGCTCCCCTTCCTTTTAAAACACAGCTGTAACAAGGTAAGAAATCATACTCTGTTGAAACAATTCTAGGGTAGCACACAGAAAACATATTTACCTTATGATTACGTCATAGGAGTCGATCTTCTCTCCTAAGGTCTTATTCTTCAGAACTCCTCCATTACCAACCACCACGCACTTTTTACAGGGTATGCTGTTGGACAGATAGACAAGTGAGACATTGAGCATCTTTTACAAAACCGAGTGAGTCCAAGACTCCGTGCAAACTGTCAGAAACCCAAGGCCAAATTCCACCTGTGCAACAAGTGGAGAAAGAACCAACTGCAACTTCTAAGTCTAGAGCTGCATTAAAAAAAACACAAGATTCAATGAGTAACAATCTATAGGAAGAGCATATCCAAGTCAGCAACTGTTAACCCATATCCGTTCTCGCATTTGATTCTCAGAGCCACCTGCTGAAGTAAGTAGGCCCGATATCCCCATTATACAAATGAAGAAAGAGGTTCAGAAATCTATTTTGTAGCATTTCAAAGTTATACTTCGAAGTGGAACTGGCGTGTAGATCCAGAACTTGAGATTGCAGAACTCTGCATGTGTGTTTCACAGGATGTAGGTCTGCATTTTACTGCCAGCATCACCCACTCCTCTAAGATCCTACCTCTGGCTCTCTGCTGCGTAGGTGTGGAGATGGACAGCTTGGGATCTGGTGAGAGAAGTAGTTTTCTGTACCCTGCCCATGCTCACTTCAATTTCCCAAACATGGACTGGTCCTTGGAGCTTAACCAATACAAACTAAACGTTCATGCTGTGTTCCTGGCAAAGAGCTTTAAAGGAGAACACAAAGGGAACTTCGCGTTGCTGGTCCATCTGTCTCCAGCTCCTACCCCACCCACCCAGGCCTGGAGAAATGACAGAACAGACTACACCCTTGCCCTCTAGAGAGCAAAACAGAAGGAACATTGCTGAGGCTGTCCTTCCAGCGCCCTCATGGCATGGAAAGTCTAAAGAGAATGCTGTTTCCCTAAGACCCATGAAATTGGCAGACCAGATGAACTCAAGTCCTTAAGGCTTTTAAGGAATCAATGAGTAGCAAAACTGTACAGACACTATAGAACACGGAAACATGGAGAATGCAAGAATTCAGAAACTTTTTAAAAAAGCCAAGCATTCGCTTTGTCGGGTAAACAGGAGATGATGGACACACTCGTACATTCATTAAATTTACCTTTTTTGAGTAGTATAGCTTGTCTGATTACTTTATAACTTGTAACATTGCAACATTTAAAAAATAGTTTTAACATATTTTAATTGGAAGCTCTAAGCTCTCAAATATTAAAGAGTCTTGCTTAAATCAGGGTCTACCTAAAGGCAAGAAAACTAAGCACCAGTGACAGGCTGGTAAGGACCTGGGGGCAGGGATGACTGTCCAGCAGATCTTCCTTCAATGTGTGCCTGAAATCTCACATTGTGGACACGTCTCGAGTCACAATGGGTTCCAGAAGGGTCTGTTTATTCATTTAAATTCTCTTTGTTTTTCTTTTTTCTGGGAGTCTATAGATTGAGTAAAAATGAAATCAGTGTCAGACATATTATATTTGATTTGGTTCAAATGCGGCTGATGTCCATTTGCAGCAGAGAACTGAGGGAAAGTACAAGGGGTGCCAGCAAGGGGACACTGCACAGAAACGGTCTGCCATTCACTGTAAAAGCTGGTGGGCGCCACACGGTCAGTGTGAGTGAGTTAACAAGACAGGGGACTCGAGATTCAATGAGCAGGGATGAAACCAAGGTAAGGGAAACAGCAACAAGAATAACAACAAAAAACAAGGTAAGTGCAGAACTTTCAAGAGACAAGGCCAGGACATTTAGAAAACAAGCTACAGCAGAGGCTGGCTGGAGAACAGTGGTCAGTGCGGATCTGCTGGGTCACCTGGGGAACACGGTGACCACATCATACCCCGCTGGACATACTCTTCACAGTAGGTTAGATCCTCCACCAAAAAAAAAAAAACAGGCCCTTCTCTTTTGGGTGAGCATCACAGTCACTGCACACATAATATTCAGGGAGGGGATGACGGTCCCTGCAGCTTTACAAACATGCCTGCATTGCCAGGGCCGCGTTTGTCACACATGGGCACCTTCTGAGCATCCAACTGATGCAGCCACTCGGTGTTGGGAGTTTTAACATTTCTGAATCCTGACGGTTGTGGAGATCTCCTTTCATCTCATACTCCAGGACTTCCTGCAAAATCAGGCAAGAGGTGGACTGTTTCAAGGGTTCATTCAACTGCTGTTTCTCCCGAAGCATCTTGTAAACTTAAGATTCTTTGTCGATGATGAGGCCGCTTGGAGGCTGAACACGTATGGGCATGCCGTTGGCCTCCTTCCTGCTGGCGGCAGTTTTGAAATACCAGCAATATGGTATCTCAAGGCGTTGTTAAAGTTGGATACATTTTCAGAAGAAGAGAGGCCAGCAGGGTTGCTGTGCTGGTTTGGATGACCCCAGGGCCAGTGCTGAAAGCAGGAGAGGCAGTAAAGAGCTTGGATTGCAGGCACATACTGCGTGCAGGACCTCCTGGGGTTCAGAGGGTAACTTCATCTTGTATGGATGGCACTTCCTTTCTGCCATCATCAAAAGAGACTAGGTTTTATATTCAGATCTGGCTTCTGTGACAGTCATGTTTTCTGTGCAGCCTTTGATCTCTTGTGTGTGTTTCCAAGTGCATTAGATTGCTGATGTTTTCCCCATCAATGGCTGTGATTACATCTCTGATACATCAATTAGCCACAGCAGCCTTGCTTCTGAGAGTGACCTGGAAAACAGCTGAGAGGCTGCAGGAAGTCCTTGCTGTCCAGCAGGCGGAAGCTTCATGGTCTTGGTCTCTCTGTTGGGCTCTAAATAAGAAAGTAACATACCTCTAGATGCTTTTACAAGCAAGTGTGACTTCAATCCTTATCCTAGGAAGCCACTTTTGTCAAAGGTCTCTGCTGTGGGGCCATACAGTATGGCTGAGATGGGAGGTGCCGAATATCCAGACCCTTTCCTCTCAGGGTATTGCCATTATCCTCCCCGAACCAGAAAGCAGGTGGCGGTTCTCACACTCACAGCTTGCTTGCCCTTTCCACAACCTCCAGGTCAGTCTAACTGAGATCAGAGGCTGCACCTCCTAAACCTGGCTCTATCTCCACTAGGAATGCTAAGCAAGTCTGGGCACTAGGGAAGGCATGGCTAGGAACAGACAGGAGTGAAATAACAGCAATTCCCATGAGTTAACCTACACAGGAGTAGAGGGGGACTCTCTACAGATGGTATCTAGTCTACTCCTCTCCCTCCAATGAAGGCTGTAAGCCAATCTTCTGTCAAGAGAAGGGGCTGCCTTGCCGTGAGCCCAGGTACCCCAGGGGCTCCTGCATCCGGCCTGGCCTGAAGTTCCCAGTCTGACATCAGGCTATTTGACTCCAACTACACAGAACACACAGGGGCAAAGGCCTGGAGTACAAGCCACCAGCATGCTACCAGTGCTTTTACCCTCCACAAAAGACTCCTGACCCACAAGTCAAATCTCTTAAGTTGACCCCGGAAAGGTTACCCAGCTCAGCCTATACGCAGTCAGTTCTATAAGACTGCTCAACAATGAACTGATAGCTTCGGTCTTAGTGTTCTCAGGAGGGGTCGCTCTATCACACTGAGTTACAGATGGTCATCAAGCCCCAGATAATGCACGTTCCAAAGAGCATCATGGTAAGAGCAGCTACCATCTCTCACATGCGTGTGCCATATCGCTGGTCTGCCCTCGGGCTCAAGGTCTTGGACCGCCTCCCACATACCCTACAAGCCACGAGAAAGGAGGAGTCGAGCATTTCAGGCAGATCTTTTCTCCGGGGTAATTCCTCATACTCAGCGTCTCCTCTTCATGGTCCCAGCAGTTCAAGAACTTTAAAAAAAAGGGGGGAAGAAAGAACATAGACACTGCCTCATTCGGAGAACTCTCATTCCAGAGATTCTTTAGAGCTCAACATCGCCGTATTTTTAGGAGTTTCACGTTGTGTTTGTTTTCCTCCATCAGCTTGTAGGGGACAAGCAGAAAGGGAGAAGGACCTTTACTGTAGGAAATTGTGCCAGTGCCTTTGAAAGGAAACCTTATCATTGAAAGTCTACTTTTCCTCCTGCTAAAGGACCCTGCGAGGATTTATGCGTTTTTCTGAGAACCACGTAGAAACTCTTTCGAGGGCATCTTTAGGGCTGCTCTTTGGCAGGAACATCGTATCTACAGCTGGTATTCGTAGTCCCACCATGGCTCTGGGAAATATGCAAGGGTACAGATAAGCTGTCTGAAACACTCCTCGTTAGTCATTGCTTCCCTCTCCCCCTAGCAGGTATCCTATCTTCTGAAAGGAATGATTCATTCTCCCTTGACTTCATCCATTTGGCTTGTGATCCTGGCTTCCTCTGCCTTTTTACGTGTGGAACAATGACTTTCAGTGTCCTCTGGGTAACTGTAAAACTTCACATATTTAATTAACATAACCTTCATGTAGAAATAGCGGTAGTGAACTGTGAGTCCCTAGAAGGAAGAATAGTATCATTTAGATCTCTGTATCCTCCCATCTAAAACACTTCCTGATTCACAGGCTGTACATTTCAGAATTCAGTTTGGTCCTTACGTTAAGAATGTGGAGGTTATTTCCCTCCTTTGTGTCTGGAGAACCAATCACCTGTTACTCCTCCTACCACTCTGGAATCAGGTAGGGAAATGCATACGCTCTAAACTGCTTACCCAGAAAACAAAACAAGTCCAGGGTTCCTGAACCTGTTAATGGAAAATCTGGAAAGCTGCTAAAGCAGGGGTAGTAAGAGGTTACACTTTCCCCAGGGGAAAGGCATCTTTCTCATAAAGTCAGGCAAAAGCCAGAAGAGCCATTACCTTATGCAGAGGGAAACATCAAACACAATCAATACAGAGGAAGCAAACTTAAGTTGCCCATTTCAAATGATCTATGATGTGTTTTCTTTTCCAAATGCTTTCTGACATGCATTTTCCCTTCAGTAGCATCACGGACATGAAAACACATGACCATCTATGGCAGACCATACTGGGCACATTCCCAACACCCATGACCCCACGTGCCTTGCTAGCAGATCACTGCTTTCCTAAACCTACAATGGTGAGCTCATCGCCTCTGCCAATGTTT